ACCTGCTGAAAGGGCGCTGGGATCTGTGTGATTTCCCGTGTGGCAACCCACTGCGCTGGCTGAAACAACGTCACTGCCTGGGATCTCCTGGCCTGGCTTACTGTTTAAGTCCCATTTAATCAGATGAATGTGCTAATCTGCCTTCCCAAATCTCAAATTGCTGGTTTAACAGGACAACCAGACCAGTGTATTTTGTACAGAGTGGTGCTGAGCTGTGGTGCCAGCCAAAACAACCACGTTGGTGGCCCATTGGGCTCCTACACCTGGGAATCTCCTGGTCGGGATCTGCAATCCTGAGTTGCTCCTATAGTGCCATCTTCTTCTCTCCTGTTGCTTTCTGCTCCTATAGCTCTTTCAATTTTGATGATAGGATGTCAATTTTAGATTTTTGTTTGCTTCTCATGTGGGTGTTTATTGCTGTAAATTTTCCTTTAGACATTGCTTTAAATGTGTCCCAGAGATTCTGGTACATTCTGTCTTCATTCTCAGTTTCAAAGAGCATCTTTATTTCTGCCTTCATTTCATTGTTTATCCAGTCAACATTCAAGAGCCAGTTGTTCAGTTTCCATGCAGTTGTGTGGTTCTGAGTTAGTTTCTTAATCCTGAGTTCTAATTTGATTGCACTGTGGTCTGAGAGACTGTTTGTTATGATTTTTGTTCTTTTGCATCTGCTGAGGAGTGATTTACCTCCAATTATGTGGTCAGTTTTAGAGTAGGTTCGACATGGTGCTGAGAAGAATGTATATTCTGTGGATTTGGGGTTGAGATTTCTGTAGATGTCTGTTAGATTTGTTTGGTCCAGATATGAGTTCAAGACCTGGATATTTTTGTTATTTTTCTGTCTTGTTGATCTGTCTAATATTGACAGTGGAATGTTAAAGTCTCCCAATATTATTGTGTGGGAGTTTATGTCTCTTTGTAGGTTGTTAAGAACTTGCTGTATTTTTCTTGGTGCTCCTCTATTGGGTATGTATATATTTAGGATCATTAGCTCTTCTTGTTGCATTGATCCTTATACCATTATGTAATGCCCTTCTTTGTCTCTTTTGATCTTTGTTGGTTTAAAGTCTATTTTATCAGAAGCTACTATTACAACTCCTGCTTTTTTCTCTCTCTCTCTCTCTCTCTTTCCATTTGTTTGGTAAATCTTCCATCCTTTTTGTGTTGGTTTCTTCCCATGTTTGTGGATTTACCTACCTGTGGTCTTTGTAGTTGGTGACTTTTGGATGGGGTCTCTGAGTGGGTGTCCTTTTTGTTGATGTTGATATTTTTTCTTTCTTTTTTAGTTTTCCTTCTAACCGTCAGGCCTCACTGCTGTAGGACTTCTGGAGGTCCACTCCAGATCCTGCTTGCTTGGGGATCACCTGCAGTGTCTGCAGAACAGTAAGGGTTTCTGCCAGTTTCCTCTTCTGTTATCTTCATCCCAGAAGGATACCCGCCAGATGTCAGCCTGAGCTTTCCTTTATGAGGTGTCTCTTTGGATACACAGGGGCCAGGGAGCAGATTGAGGAGATAGTTTATCCCTTTTCAGAGCTCAAGTGCTGTGCTGGGAGCTCTGTTGTTCCATTCAGAGCTGCTGGGAAGGTATGTTTAAGTCTGCTGCAGTGGAACTCATAACTGCCTTTTTTCCCCCTGTCCTGGGAAGGTGGGACTTTATTTATAACTTCCTCTTGTGCTGCTGCCTTTTTTCAGAGATGCCCTGCCCAGCAAGGAGGTAGCCTAGTCACAGTCTGCCAGCAGAAATGTTGCTGAGCTGCCATGGTCTCTGCCCAGCTGCTGTGTGAACTTCCTTGTGGTTTTGTTTACAGAGGTATAGTTAGAACTGCCTCAGTTATGGCAGTCTGCCTCAGTAATGGCAGACCACCTCAGTAATGGCAGATTGCCTCAGTAATAGCCGGGTGCCTCAGTAATGGTGGGCTGCCTCCGTAATGGTGGACTGCCTTGGTAATGGTGGACTGCCTTGGTAGTGATGGACTCCCTTGGTAATGACAGACACCCTTCCCCCTGCACAGCTGGACTGTCCTGGGTCCAGCTGTGCTTGCTGTAAAACTCTCAGTCCAGAGTGTTTCAGATTGCTGGTCTTTGTCATAGTGGGACCCACTGAGCTAGATCACCTGACTTGCTGTTTCAGCCCCCTGTTTTTCCAGTTGAATGGGCAGCTCTGTCTCCCAGGCATTCCAGGTGCCAGTTGAAATGGCCACCCAGATTTGTGTGAGTTTTTGTGTGTAGACCCATTGTGCAGGCTGAAACAGCTTTGCTGGAAACTCATTGCACTTTTCTGCCTGGGAATCTCCTGTCTGTTGGCAGTAAAAACTCATTTGGAAATGTGGTGATTACTCACCCTCTGCATTTTTCTCGCTGGGAACTGCACTCCAGAGCTGTTTGTATTTGGCCATCTTGGATCCACCTTCTGTTTTGTTTCTTAAGATAACTTTGTTTCAGAAAAGGGGCATTTATTCTATACTTTAAAGGTAGTTTTCCATTTTTGCATGGCTTTTATTTTATTTCTGATGAGAAGCAGTTATGAAAGTCATCATTTTCTTTTGTGTAATATATCATTTTTCTTTGGCTGCTTTTATTTATTTTTTTCCCTTTTATTTGTTTTTCAGCAGTTTGACTTTGTTTTGTTCATATTCTTTGTTTCTTTGTAAATATCAACTTGGGCAGAACTGGACATGCTGAATATGTAAATTTCACCAAATTTAGAACATTTTAAATGTATTGTTATTTTAAAATCTTTGTCTACAACTTCCTCTTTCTCTTTTCCTTATGGGATACAATTACATATTAGATATTTAGTTTTATCCCACAGTTTTCTCAGTATCTGTTAGTTAACTTTGTTGTTTGTATTTAGATTATTTTGTCTTGATATATTTTCAAGTGGTTTGACTTTTTCCACTGTCATCATCCAATCTGTTCCTATACTCATATATTAAATTTTCAATTCAGATATTATGATTTTCAGTTTCAGAATTTCCATTTGACTATTTTTTTTTAAAGAGACATGGTCTTATTTTATCACTCATGCTGGATTTCAGTGGCAGGATCATTGCTCACTGCAGCCTTGAGCTCCTGGGCTCAAACAATCCTCCTGCCTCAGCCTCCCAAAGAGCTAGGATTATAGGTGTGTACCACCATGCATGACTAATTCAAAATTTGTTTTATAGACATAGGGTCTCACTATGTTGCCCAGGCTGATTTTGAACTCCTGGCTTCAAGCAATCCTCCCACTTTAGCCTCCTGAAATGCTGGGATTATAGCTGTGGGGATATATTTTTTATAGTTTATATTTCTCTGCTAAGATTTACATCATTTTATGTATTATGAGCATATTTTCTTTTGCACTGGACATTTTTATTATACTTGTTTTAAACATCTTATATGCGAATTTCAAAATCTGGATTGTCTTGCTTGGGATCACTTTTTGTTCATTGTCTTTTTATCTTAGAAATAAGTTTCAAATGTCGAGTATTTCTAAATTATATCCTGAGTATTATAAATATCATATTCTTGAAACCCTAGATTATGTTATATTCTTCTGATGCTTGGTATCTTTTTCTTTTTTTTGAGACGGAGTTTTGCTCTTGTTGCCCAGGCTGGAGTGCAATGGCGCAATCTCGGCTCACTGCAACCTCCGCCTCCTGGGTTCAGGTAATTCTCCTGCCTCAGCCTCCTGAGTAGCTGGGATTACAGGCACGCGCCACCATGCCCAGCTATGTTTTTGTATTTTTAGTAGAGACGGGGTTTCAGCATGTTGACCAGGATGGTCTCAATCTCTTGACCTAGTGATCAACCCACCTCGGCCTCCCAAAGTGCTGGGATTACAGGCGTGGGCCACCGTGCCTGGCCGGTATTTTTTTTCTTAAATATATAATTAACACTATTGGATTCAAAATATAAATTCTATATTTAGGTAGCAGCTCAAATTGCATTTTAGTTTTTTTTAGCTTTTCCTAGACTTCTTAGTCTTCTCTATTCAGATGTAGTTCAGGGGTCAGGTGGATATTTTGGTAGAGTTCATATAAAAAATCTGGGGCCCCCTATGTTATCTTCTTTTCTTTGTATAATTTCCCTCTAACCTTTCCAGTGGCTTGGGTTTTCCCGAACTATGTTCTCTAGTAGTTTTTAAGTCAGCTATTAGGCATCTTGAATGGCTCAAATAGGGATTGCCCTGAAACTAAAAGCCATAAAAATGTGAATCTTACCTAGAATTCTTCCTTTCCTCCAAGTATCACCTTCCCTCAAGACTCTGCCTACACCTGGCTGGTTATGGTGGCTTATGATTGTAATACCCATCCTTTGGGAGGCTGAAGGAGGAGGATGAGTTGAGCCTGGGAGTTTGAGACTGCAGTGAGCTAGGAACCCACTGCTGCACTCTAGCCTGGGTAACAGAGCAAGACTGTGCCCTGATAAATAAATAAATAAATTTAAAAAAATAAGTTAAAAAAATCCGCCTACTCTTGGTTGTTCTCCTATTGTTGATACTTGTATTTAGTCCAGAGTTTATGGTTGTTATGTGTGGTAGTATTTGTTCAGTGGGAACTTAGTCATATCAGAAGCAAAACGGGGAACTCTAAATACAGTCCTCAAAGTGTCTTTAATTTGGTGGAGAATTCCTGAGACTTCATGTGTAGTAGAATTTACTCATTCTCACAAAGATAGAACAATATTTATTTTGTGTTAAGAGTAGAGATTCTTCTTTTAGTAAAATTTGAGGTGTTTCTTTTTATATATTTCAGGCCTAGAGGAAAGGATAAATCAAACATTTAATTTACTGCAATTGTAATTTGCCAGATTCATGCTCAATTTGCCAGTGAAAAATTAATAGGAAGCTTTAGCTTCAGGTATTATACACCATTACACCTGAGAGGTGTGCAGTTCAATGTGTATGCTTGAACCTTATCTTGGCTATCTATTGGTTTTAGAAAAGTAATAATGGTAAACTAAATTAATTAAAAATACCAATGTAAATACCTTTCTTCTCCCTTATTAATTTCTAGAAAGTAGCACATGCTCTGGAAATTGAGAATAAAATTCTTCAGGAGCAATTGAAACAGGCTTTACAGGTAAAGGATGTCATGTTTCTTTAACATTTTTAACAAGTAAAGAAAATATCCACAAAGAACTTTTCAAATGAATACTTTTACTATTTGGCCAGGTTTAAACTATATTCATTTATGAATTAGGGATATATTCATAAAATTTAGTATTTATTCTTATCAAATATAGTGAAATAGAAAAGTAAATTTTCTTAAGCTAATAAAGACAATCTATTAATCTGTCATGGTTGCAGTATAAAAAAAGAAAAAGAAAAGGAAAAAATGACAATGTATTTCAAGCTGATAGGCACTATACTTAGAGGTAAATTACTGCCGGCATTCCAATTATACTCAGTTGAACCAAATGTTGGCTCTTACTACTCTTTTAAAAATTCTAGTTGAATAATACAACAAGAAATGAAAAAAAAGCTATAAACATTTCATAAATGGACAAAAGTGTAATCATTTGTTTATTATAAAATTGTTTTTCTGAAAAATTCAAGATATTAGTTATTAGTGATAGAGTTCAAAAAGGTGGGTGAGGGCAAAATAGAATAGGTTTTAGAATAGAATAGAAAAAATAAATCAACAGATTTCCTTTCTATTAGAAACAATAATTTAGAAAATGATTGTTCAAATATATCATTTTATAAAATGTAATATATATTTATTCATCATATTAGTCTAGAGTGATACAAGAATTGTATATTTAATAAGAAATGCACAGTTTAATATTAAGAAAAATAGGCCGAGCGTGGTGGCTCAAGCCTGTAATCCCAGCACTTTGGGAGGCCGAGGCGGGTGGATCACGAGGTCAAGAGATCGAGACCATCCTGGTCAACATGGTGAAACCCCGTCTCTACTAAAAATACAAAAAATTAGCTGGGCATGGTGGCACGTGCCTGTAATCCCAGCTACTAAGGAGGCTGAGGCAGGAGAATTGCCTGAACCCAGGAGGTGGAGGTTGTGGTGAGCCGAGATTGCACCATTGCATTTCAGCCTGGGTAACGAGAGCAAAACTCCATCTCAAAAAAAAAAAAAAGAAAAAGAAAATACTTTACCAAGAGACACAGATCAACACTGAAGAAAGAGAAATTTATAATTTTAGTTTTGAGCATTCAGTGTTATCAATGTTTTAATTTTCAAACAGTTACACAAACTTAAAGCAATTTGGTTTTAGATATAAGTGGAATTGTTCTTGAGTTTAATAAAATTACTGTAAGGTCGGGTGCAGGGGCTTTATAATATATAACCTTATGATATATAACCAATCCCAGCACTTTGGGAGGCTGAGGTGAGAGGATTTCTTGAGCCCAGGAGTTTGAGATCAGCCTGGGCAACAAAGTGAGACCTTGTCCCTACAAAAAATTTTAAAAAATTAGCAAGGTATGGTGGGATGTGCCTAGAGTCCCAGCTACTCTGGAGGCTGAGGCAGGAGGATCACTTGAGCCCAGGAGTTTGAGATCAGCCTGGGCAACAGAGTGAGACCTTGTCCCTACAAAAAAATTTAAAAAATTAGCCAGGTATGGTGGGATGTGCCTATAATCCCAGCTACTCTGGAGGCTGAGACAGGAGGATCACTTGAGCCCAGGAGGTTTGAGGCTGCAGTGAGCAGTGATTAGGCCACTGCGCTCAAGGCTGGGCAACAAAGAGATATCCTGTTTCAAAAAAATATATTATAAAATATAATGAGACAAGAAACTGATGATTATACAAAAGAAAAACAAGAAGATTTTCTTCTCAAAAAAATCAATAAATCATGTAAAACTTCAATAACCAAAACACTGTGGTTCTGATTCTGGTACTGAATGGAAAGTCCAGAAACAGATTCAAATCAATATAATAATTTAGTATTTTATAAACTGTTTATTAAAAATGTTTAAAGAAGGATAAAAGTCGCAAAGTGAATTAGTAGAAAAACGTACATTTGTTTTCAGATAATATACCAAAATAAATTGGAGATTGATTTAAGATTAAATAGTAATAAATGTTAGAAGAAACACTGGTAACAGTTAGATGGTTTTGATTAGAGAAAGACTTTTAAGCTTTATACCCCCAAAGGAATATGTTAATGTATTTGGCTGTATATGAATTTAAAACTTTTTTATGTTAAAAAAATTATAAGAAATAAAGATAAATGGAAGTGTGTACAAAATGTTTTATGTAAAGATATGTTGCCCCTTTATGTTTATCTGCATTTGAAGATATTGTATATGAAGATATTTGTGGCTCAAATTTGAGGTGCATAGGGCCAGAGATGCCATAGACCTACTACCACCCAAAGCAGCTCAGAAGTGGTGAACTCTTCAAATTTGCGATAAAAATGGCCTCCAATAAAACAGCATTTCACAAAATGAGAAACAGAATGTAATGGATGAAAAAGTTGAAGAGGCACAACCTGAAAAATTTGTGTTGGAAAAAGTACTAGATCAATGTGCAGTGAATGGGAAAGTGGAATATTTCCTAAGTAGAAGGGATTTATAGATGCTGACAGTACCAGGGAACCTGAAGAAAATTTAGATTGTACAGAGATAATTAAAGTATTTCTTAATTCTCAGAATGCTGGTAAAGAAAAAGATGATATAAAAAGAAAATCTTTATCTGATAATGAATCTGATGACAGGAAATCAAAGAAGAAAAGAGATACTGCTGATAAACCAAGATTTACCAGAGGGTTTGATTCTAAAAGAATAATTGTCACAGACAGCAGTGGAAAATTGATGTTTCTCATGAAATGGAAAGATTGAGATGAGGCAGACTTTATAGTGGCAAAAGAGGCAAATGTGAAGTGTCCTCCAGTTATAACTGCTTTTTATGTACAGAGACTAACTTGGCATTCTTGATCAGGAGATGAAGCTCAATAATTGTCTGCATTGTTTTATATACATATATGTATACATATAATTGTTTCCATTGTTTTATATAAAATCTGGGTCTTGGTTTTTGCTTTACTAGTATGAAGAAATAACAAGATTGAAACGTTTGTTTTCAAAGTAGTGTTGGGAGTTTTTTTTTTTTTTTGGAGGTTTGTTTTTGCATCAATAGCACTGGTTACTTTGAAAATATAAAAACTTTCTGTAGTTGCTTCCTTCATCAGAAAAGAAGATTTGATACCATGGTATATTATTTCCTCTGCATTAGAGAACAGTTTTTCTAAAGGTTCAGGGAAATTCCCATAGTCATTACTCAATCAGAACTTGTGTTCTTATATGCCTAAGAACCATTCTGTGGTTTTTTTTTTTTTTGTGTGTGTGTTTGTGTATACATAAAAAGCATATATAGTTTTCTTTTTTTAAAAAAACACTGCCAAAACAAAAATTACAAGTAAGCCCATATTTCTGAGATGCCTTCAGTCTGAGCAAACCAAAATATAAATCAAGTCAAACTAAAATTTCCTGAAATGGTACATTTTAAGTGAAATGGTTCTAATTAATTCTAATTAAGTTTAATTGGATAATTTAAAAGCATGCATATCTATATATACTATGGTTCGTTTGCAAAATTCCTAAAATGAAAACTTTTATCACTGTCAACAACCTCCCCATTTAGATGAGAAAACTAGACAAATCCTAGTTTGTTTTAATTGGCTAACCAAGACTTAGTTAATTGGACGTTCCTCCAGCAAATCCATTCCTTAACAAAAAGTTGAAATCTCTGTTGCTGCATGGACTAAAAGGTCATGATTTATTAAATACCTAAGACTTGGTGTAGGGAAACCTAATCAGATGGGTTAGAGATGTTGGCATTTAGGACTCGCTGCCATAAAAGAGTGAATAAACTTTTGTCATCTAAACTATTGACTTGCATGTTTTTTCTTTACCCTAACTCATTCCTTACATGTAGGCTCAGTCTTTTCAGTATTTGTTTTACTCGTTCAGCAGAAGCCAGGAAAAACAACTTTGTAGTAATCAGAAGGCTACCTAACTGTATTTTGTTTACTTGATTGTAAATGCTGGCGAATGGTGGTCAATATTAATAGTTTTATATTCCTTTATGCAATAAAGAAATTTTATAAACCTATAAGAAACATGAATAGCCATCCCCCAAAATAGACAAAGGATGTGCATAGGCAAGTTTCAGAAATACGTATTACCAATAAATGCATGCAAACATAATTAAACTCACTAGTATCAAATAAATGCAATTTAAAATACAGTAGTACAGATTTTTTATTTTGCCTATCATCTTGGTAAAAATGTAAGGGGTAAAAACTACAGAAATATGTAGTATTTGTGGTTGTATGCTGAAATGGGCAACCTTTCACATACTTCTATTGTCCAAAAAGTATGAATTGATATATTCATAGATGTGTGATAACAGAAGTATGAAATATATTTGTTATGTCTTTTCTGGGAGGCAAGAAAGACATAGCAAACTTGAAAAGATGTATCCTTTTCACTCAATAAAAGCTTTTAAAAGTTTATTCTAAAGAAGAAAAAAGTATATAGAGATTTTGCATGAGTATGTTCAATGTCATGTTTTAATAGCAAAAATTTTGAAATGATCTAATTGTCCATTGATAAGGAATTTGCTAAGCCAATTAAGGTATATTATTAAATGTATTTCTGTTACCTATTCTGATTTAAATGTATATTTATTGTTATAGAAACATATCTATGACATTATTTAATAAAAAGAGCATATTATGTGAGTATGTATAGTATGATCCAATCTAGATAAACATTTAAAAAATTTGGCTGGGCATGGTGGTTCATGCCTGTAGTCCAAGCACTTTGGGGGGCCGAGGACTGTGGATCATTTTGAGCCCAAGAGTTTGTAATTAGCCTGGGCAACATGGCAAAACCCTGTCTCTACTAAAAACAAAAAAACTGACTGGATGTGGTGGTATGGGCCTGTAGTCTCAGCTATTTGGGAGGCTGAAGTGGAGGGATGACTTGAGCCCAGGAGACAGAGGTTGCAAAAACCCCATGTATATCTATATCTATATCCAAATGTATCTTATATATATATGACATATATAAGATATATATGCACTAACTATATACAGAAAAATTTAAAAAGGATATACCTCAAAATGTTAATAGTGATTTTTCTTTATGAGGTGAGATTATTTGTTAATTTTCTTTTTGTTTATCTACATATTCTTTTACACAAGTTGCTGCGACAAGTCCTAACATGTGTGATGGATTATATTGTTTACTGAGAATGACAACAAAGAGACCAAGCCAGCCCCTAAGCAGAAAACTGCTCAGGGCGTTTTAAAATAGCGAACAGTATATGCATATCATACGTTAAACCAATTCTTTAAACACAGGATCTGTGATCTTGCCCTCACTGCTCCATCATGAAGAATACTTTCTAGTTTGTTTTTGATCAGTGGTAAGCAGGCACCAGCTGCCCTAGTTTATCTTTGTTCTATGAGAAAACACAGAACACCTGGTTTTTAATAATAATCACCTGTTCAGAGAGAATAAACTCGTGGGTCAGAGGCTGCTGGAGGCTCTCAGCTCAGAAGGCTGCTAGCTCCCGATCCTACTTTGCACTGTATCTTTGTGTTTGTTTCTTAATTCCTTTGGTGCCTCTGGGTTGGGGTCTCCATGACCGAGGTGGTCTCAGCAATAAGTAAGTTAATTGTATAACTAAAATTAAAAAAGTGACATTTTTAAGGAGACATTTATTCTCCTTAAATTAGAGAATAAATTGTTCTCTACATTTTATTTCATTCTTTGATATTATAGGTGTTAATTATCTTTGTTATAGTCTATCAGTTTTTATAATGTATACCTTATATGAATTTTTATTTTGCTTGTATAATAATTAGAGCCTTAAAAAATAACAGCCATGAGAAACTCCTGGGTATAAAAATAGCCCTCAAAGGTGGAAGAGGTTTCTTCACAACTTTCTATTTTAACTGTGGAATTGTTAAAGTATCAGTTATATCAATAGCTTAACTTTGCTCCCTTTAATTCAGTAAAAATGAGTTGAGAAATCATGTATGCATAAATATATGTAGATTCCTGAATGTGGTAGTATTGGCAGGAAAATGTCGGAAAATGCTTGATAAACTGGTACTTTTTTAAAACAGGAAGCTGAAAAAGCTAAGCATCAACTTAACTATTTCCTAAGTCAAGAAAAGAAGTTACGTAAAAGTGAGGGGAAAATCGATACAACAATGGAAGTGGGTAATAGTCAAACAAAAGTTAAACGTGAAGATTCAAAAAATATACCACTGAAGAAAGAAACAAGAAAATCACTGGTTTCAGATTCAGGTGGACAAAACACAAATGATAAAATCCAAGAATATCCACAGGTAAGGAAATAACTGAAATGGAGACAGTAATATATGTTGTGAGAAATTTATCTTTCATATTATTATTTACTTAATTTGTATGTGTTATTTAAAAATCATTCCTTATTTTGGGGTTTGTTTTTACTTTTGCCCTTTACCTTCTGGATATGTCAACTCATTATTATTTTTAATACCAAACTATGACTTAAATATACATATATTTTTGAATGACCACATAAGCATCTAAGATTTGAGTCCTTTATTTTTACCTTCTCTTTTTGTGTATAATTTTTATTGTGAACTACCTTAACTTCTTCCTGGAAAGATAAATAATAAAGACAGTTTCTCTGAGGGCAATAAAGATTGTTAAAGTTGTTGAGTCATGTATAAAAATGGAATAGGATACACTGAATTGAATATAAAAACAAATATTTGAAGAAATAAAGGATTGTCAGCTGCTTTAAGACAAAGAACAAAAGAAACAGTACAACTTAAAATCTACTAGTCATTTTATATCTGCTATTATAAAATGTGCTAGTCATTTTATATCTGTGATTGTTATAAAATATGCTAGTCATTTTTATATTTATTTATATGGGCTGGTTATGTACATAAGAACATACAATAGCTATGAGCACCTCCATTTTGAGGATGAAACCAAAACTTTAAAAAATTAGGCATGCAACATTACAGTGAGTAGTACTGAGTTAGATTTCAAATTTAGGTCTTTCTAGATCCAAAATCACATCTAAGGATAACTTCTTTGCTTGTCTATATGGCTGGATTTGAAACTTGCTTTGTTAATAGCTTTATTACTTTACATTTCCTATATTTATCCCCTAAATCCAAAGTAAAGGTTTTCATATATGACAGAAATAGTCACATTAAATAATAAGATGAACCTGAACAGAAGGAACAACTTCATTACCTAAAAACATCACATTGCTTTCACGTGATTGTAATTTTTAGTGAGTTTATATATAGATCAGTATACACCTGTCTTAGGTATCTAGCGTTAACACTCATTATACATTTACTATATGCTAGGTTCTTTGCATAGAAGATGTATATAATGTTCTGGTAATAGTGAAACAGGAGTTATCATTATTGGAGATTTTTATTCAATAGAAATTTATACTCACTGTCCATGTTCTTATAGTAATTTAACTGTAATCTTCTTTCTCAACCACTGTATTAAAACTATTTTTTGCCAAGGTTACAACAAATCTACTTGATGCTATTCTGAAGGATACTTTATAGTTTTCTTTTTCTTTCTTTTTTTTTTTTGAGATGGAGTTTCACTCTTGTTGCCCAGGCAACAAGATCATGTGCAGCACATGATCTCAGCTCACTGCAACCTCGCCTCCCTGATTCAAGTGATTCTCCTGCCTCAGCCTCCTGGGTAGCTGAGATTACAGGTGCCCACCACCATGCCTGGCTAATTTTTTGTATTTTTAGTACAGTGTTTCACCATGTTGGCCAGGCTGGTCTTGAACTGACTTCAGGTGATCCACCCACCTCGGCCTCTCAAAGTGCTGGGATTACAAGGCATGAGCCACTATGCTCAGCCAGATGATTTACAGTTTTATCTCATTTGTCCTCTTAGCAGCATTTAACCATGTTTAACCATTTATTTTTTAAAATATAGTCTATAGTTTGTTTGAGAAACAGCATAGTTATTTGGATTTCCTTCTATATTTCTGGGACACCTCTTTGGTCTCTTCTTGTTCTGCTCATTCTTTAAATGTTGGTATTTCTCTGGGAAAAAAGTTGTTTATTCCATATATTCTTTCTGAGTGTGCTCATATACCTTCATGGCTTCTAGTACCATATAAATTTCTTATCTCTCCCTCAAATAGCACCTAATTTCCGGACCTATTATTCATTAACATACTGAATTTTTCTGTTTGAATGGGCTTCAAACATCTAGAATTCACCATGTTCTCAAATGAACCAATTGCTTTCTTCTCAAACCTGCTTTATCTCACAATATTCAGTCTCCTGGCATCCTCATCCATCTAATTGCTGAAAATAGAAAGTCTAGCATCACTGTTATTTCTTCTTCTCCTTTGTCTTGATCCTATTATTATCCATCAAATTCTGTCCAGTTTTCTCAATATACTTACAGTTCTGGTAGTCAAGCTCCCGCCAGGTCTCTAATAGGTCTTTCTTTCCAGGCCAGTCTCCATGTTGGTGGCTAGTCATCTTTCAAAAATTGATAGTTGTTACCTTCTTGTCTAAAATATTTAATGCTTTCTATTTCCCTTACTTTAAGAACAAAGTCCTAATTATGGTTTAAGGCTTTGTCAGATCTGGTCTTTTTTTGAGACCTCAGCCTCATCTTTAATTAACCACCCAAGCTATTGCACATGCTTTCATATGCACATGTGGATTATATATTTTATGCTTTAGTATGCTTTAGCTACACTGAACCTCCTTTAAGTTCATAGAACATATGGTATTTTCTGTAACCTGAAGTATTTTGCCTATTTTGTTCTGTGCTTGAAACGGTTTCTCCCTTCTCTGTTTCCTAAAATTTATCTGATTAAAAGATAAATGAGGAACAAAAAGTATTGTTTCAGTTATTTTTTGCAGCATAACAAATTATGCTAAAATTTAGCAGTGTAGAAAGAAAACATGTATTATCTCAGAATATTTGTAGGTCAGGAATCCTAATGTTCCTTAGCTGTGTCCTCTGGCTCAGGGTCCCTCTCACAAGGATGTAGCCAAGGCATTAGACTTGGCTGTGTGTATCTTAAGGTCCAACTGGAGAAAGATGTACTCCCAAGCTCATATACTCACGTGACTGTTAGAACTCGGGTCCTTGCTGTTGACTTGAGACATCAGTACTTTGCTATAGACCCTCTCCATAATGCAGTTTACAACATTGGAACAAGGGCTGAGTGAGATATAGGGAGACATAGATGGAGAGAAAGAGACAGGGAAAAAGAGACAGAGATAATCTAATCTCAGAAGTGATATCCCATCACTTTTTTCATATCCTACTAATTAATAGTAGAAGTAGTCACTAGCGCCAGTCCACACACTGGAAGGGTATACCCCTGGCATTTATACCATGAGCAGGGATCACTGGTAGTCATTTTAGAGGCTGCCTACTATGAGTATTAATAGGTATGAGATTGTGAAAATTCCTGAATCATATACTAAATCAAGCTGTTTGGTCTTCAATTTTCAGAAAAGAAAATTTCTGGGTAAAGGAATAACATGCAAGATACTGTTTTTAAAGAAAATAATTGTACATCAGTGGGGTAGATGTGTCATTCCCTTTTATTGATCCCATAATTAATAAGGTTTTTATGTATATTGTAGCTATAAATGTATTTCATTTTTTCTGCTGATAGAGCTCTCCTGGGTATCATAATGACCTTGGTTGGCTGTGGAGCTGTGATATTGTTAGTATCAAGAGCAGGCTTTCTCACCTGAGGTAGGAAGGTCTCAGTGCTCTTGGGTCTGTGCTTCACAGTGAAGCCACTTTATCATCCTGTGCTTTAGGGAATAGACACCTAAAGTTTACAAGTAAAGGAAAAATATTTGGAACTTCTACACCTAGATGCTGTATTACACAAAAGACCTGTCATATATACATCCTAATGACAAGTTGGAAAAGTAGTTCCTTTTTGTTTCTGCAACTGTTTTTGAGGTTGTTTATTAAAATGGTAATCTTTTTTAATTCAGAGGGAGGGTCAAGAACTATTATTTCTGTCAGCAACTATACATAATTATCTATAAACTGTTAATTAATGGAGGATGATAATACTTTATAAGAATACTGTGGCTGGGCTTGGTGGCTCATGCCTCTAATCCCAGCACTCTGGCCAAGGTGGGCAGATCACTCGAGATCAAGAGTTGGAGACCAGCCTGGCCAACATGGTGAAACCCTGTCTCTACAAAAAATAAAAAAATTAGAAACCAGGCATGGTGGTGCATGCCTGTAATCCCAGCTGCTTAGAAGGCTGAGGCAGGAGAATCACTTGAACCTGGGAGGTGGAGGTTGCAGTGAGCCCAGATAGTGGCACTGCACTCCAGCCTGGGCGACAGAGTGAGACTGTCTCAAAAAAAAAAAAAAAAATACTGTGAGGGTAAAATAAGATAATGCTTATAAACTGCTTTTGTATATCATGAAGCCCTATGTAATTGTTATATTGCATCCCTATTTTCCTCAGTAGGAGTTGTCTACATAGGCCGTATGAAAATTCTTGGTGATTTATTGTTTGTATATAGGATAACTATTGTGACTATTGTGACATAGAGACACAAAATGTATGATGGCTCAAACACAATAGAAGCTTATTTCCTGGTGTTAATAGTCCAGGGACGTTCAAGGCCAGTGTTCATGGTAGGGAGTTCTGCTCTACAGGGTTGTTCAGGCATCCTGACATATGGAAGTTTTACTCTCTTACATGTGGCTTCCTAAGCTATGCTGGGTATAGTTATCTAGCTCTCAGAAAAGAATATGGAGGACAAATGTAAGTAATTTTCATTGGCCAGGCTGGAGGAGACACACGTCATTTTTTCTCACATTCTATTTGCTACATTTAACTACAGAGGAAATTTAAAAATATAGACTAAAAATGTGTCTAAGAAGATAAAATTAGTTTGTTGACCATTTAGAAGTCTTTGCCACAGGGGAATAAGGATAAAGCCAGTTAATCTCTGCATAAAAGAAGCTGAATTAGATGAAAATCAGATCTGGAATAAAACCTAGAATCAACATGTATACTATAGAAAAATGTGTATTATATTCACAAGATGTAATTTATTAATAAAAATCCCACTTTGAAGGCCACTTGCATAACTTTTTTTTTTTTTTTTTGAGATAGAGTCTCACTCTGTCACCCAGGCTGGAGTGCAATGGCATGATCTCAGCTCACTGCAACATCTGCCTCTCTGGTTCAAACAATTCTCCTGCCTCAGCCTCCTGAGTAGCTGGGATTATAGGCGCCCGCCACCACAACAAGCTAATTTTTGTATTTTTAGTAGAGATGGGATTTCACCATGTTGGCCAGACTAGTCTTGAACTCCTGACTTCACATTATCTACCTGCCTCAGCCTCCCAAAGTGCTGGGATTACAGGCGTGAGCCACCTTGCCTGGCTGGCCTAATGTTTTTGGTTACATACTTCTGTAAACATATTTGAGCTTGCATTCTCAATGTACCTCTTTTAAAATAAACAAATTACAAAGAGTACCACCACTGTTTATTATATGTAATATTAGCATTTTAAATCCTTCAACAAGAATATTTAAAAGGAATAGATAATTATGTCATAGGTAAGTTTAAAACATATTTTGGGCTACTCTGCCTGTGGAGCAGCCCTGCTCTGTCAATGGAGCAGCTATTTTGTTGTACTCTGTTGCTCTAATAAACACACTTTTCTTTCACTCAAAAAAATTTTGTTTACTGAAAGTATAAAACCCTCTTTGCTTTTAATTTAAAAATGTAAGTGTAATTTTAGGGCCTGCTCTTCTATAGTGTCTCTTCCTAAAATATGATAATTTCTTTGCTTTTTTGATACCTTAATTTTGCAAAATTATCATATTAAACTGCCTTAAATGATATTTTTCTAAATGACTGAATGTGAACATTTTATATGTATACTTGATATGTACTTGATATGTTTAAATGTAGTATTATCTTTATCGCAGATCTCTGCCCAAAGTAGAAGACCGATTGAAAAAAGGTAAAACACTTTAAAAAATTTGTTCTCTCATTTTCTTATCTTTATCAGTTCACATACCCAAGTAATGAAAAATACCATTCTAAATTTAATATCACAAAACTCCTTGATTTTTATCTTTCCTATGATATTGCACTCTTATCTTTGAAACTAATTTTAAGTAGAAAATGTTTGAAACTTTGCAGCCAAAAATCAAAATTAAATGAAAAATTCAAATTAAGGGCCAAGTCTATGTACAAAACACTTTTTTTTTTCCTGTCAACATTAATTAAAATTTCCAAATAGTGAGGAACTAACCCTTATTTTCAACTTAGTTATCAAGATACATGAGCTAGATACATAAGCAATTTATTTAAAAATCCTTTTTGCCTTTCATTTTAACTCAGTCACTACACACACACATGCATATGTACATGCATGCACATAAATAATTGAGTTGATTGATTCATCCAATTAAATCTTATAGTTTTCACTTGTGAGTCTCTTTGATTAGCATATTATGATTGATTCACAGCATTTTTTGATTCATATTACCATGCGGTAAAGAGGAATTACCTAGAAGTATGCATTTATGTACTTCATCCCCATTTTAAATATATCTGGATTATAGACCCAGGTGAATTAGCAATAATTAGGTAATAAGTATAATGATTAATTGCCAGAAGTTTTGAAAATGTTCACTTTAAATGTTTGTAGTGAATGTTTATATTTAAAAATATCTATTTTAAATACTAATAAACATATACTAAAACTATATGTTTTAAATACAATATGTAAGAGAAAATTAGACATTGGTCCACTTGTTGATTTGCATACTTATTATGGTTGGTTTCTTATTACTGATTCTTTATATTTTAAATATGTATGGTCAGCATTATAAACATTTGGAAAGGCATAGGAAAAGGATTAATAATTATCTTCAGCAGTAATGGGAACTTAGCCATCTTACGTATCATGTAGAAATGGGAAGGAATAAAGCATGGTGCTCTTGTATTCATACTCAGATTATGGTAGAGCATGGAATACTACTATAGTTCTCTATGTAATCATGGTGAAGGATAGCTCTGGAAAATCCTGGAGAGCCAATAGTTTATCACCTTGAAGAACACGAGGTGGTAACTTTTGATATAATTTGTTTTAAAATTGAACATTTAGTTGCTGCTGATAAATGTGATAGCCTCTTTGTACATTGATAAATCTCAGAAAATAGAAACATTGGCTTAAAAAAGCCATTTTAAATAGTTTCTAGTCTGTATGAAGACATGATAAGGCAGTCTCAGTTACTTTCCATGGGCATTTGGAAAAATCTTAAAGGAGGGGTTATGTTAATGTTATCTAGTCCAGTCCTCATTCTACTTTTCTGATAAGTCACATTTTAGAATTTAAATTGGAAGTGATAGAATGGAAGAAGGGTTCAATAGAGAACAATAGAATGAGGATGACAGAGAATATAAGACTAAGAAAAAGTCATAGAATGAATATATGACATTATTCATCTGAAATGCCCCTTTTTCCCTAGAAATGTTAATTGATGAAATAACTTCAGGAGGAAGATTATTTTAATTCATTTCAATTCAGTTTAGCTCTAATGAGGAAACACTAACTGAGCATCCATGCCGTGCAAGGCACTGTGATGGATATTATGGGATATAAAGGGTTTCAAATATATGGTCATTGCCCTCAATCCATTAACAATCTAGTAGGGCTGACTAGACATGTACAAAAATAAGTGGAGTATAATGCAGATGTTGCATTCTGTAAAACATTACCAAGAAGCTACATCAAAACAGAGGAAAAGTTATTTCTGACTGGATTAAGAATTACATACCATTTAATTTAAGAAAGATGGTTGGGTTGGATTTTAACAGGGAGATGTGAAGAAAGGGTGTGCCAAGTGGACAGACTTTGCTTTGAGGCAAAGATGAGGATGTTTGGAATCTATATAGTGTGCTCAGGAAAAGGCCAAAAAATTATTTATTTTTTTTTTGGATTCTAGACTTAGGACAGTAATGGGAAATATGAGATGAAATAGGTTGTTTCAGCTTGATAGATTTCATAGAATTACCCTTAATAGCTTTAGGTTAATTATTATATATAATATCATATATATGATAATGTATCATATATCATATATTGCTAAACATAATAAAAATTCAAACAATTAAGCACATGCCACATATTATTCATCAACCTTCATTTTGGGTTACTTCTTAGATCCTAATAGAATTTCTGAAATACTTTGGAAAAGTCTCCCAAACCTTCAGAGAGTGGATGGGAGCGAAGTAAGGAGACCCCACCTGAGCAGATACATGGTATTGCTTATAATAAAGTACATTTTTGCTCTTTACAACATTTAGCAGTTTATTTTGGCTTAGGGAATGAGTTAGTGATAAACAGTTAATCAAACAATAATAATGTATTGTTTCACATCATGTGCATTGCTAGCTTTCCTTAAATGTTTTGTGGCACTGAAATTCACACCTTTTAGAAATGTAAATGTCAACTAATTCATGGTGTTTTATTTTTAAGAGTTACACAGTCAACCTACTTCTTTCTAAATACTTTCATTAGGACTTTTTTCTCCCCATTCCTACTTGCGTTTGCTATAAAGCACTAAAACATGCAAGGGAAGTGTATTGGTACGTGTCCATTTTTTTTCTCCGTAGATGATTAGCTGTTAACTTCACTCATTTATTCACCAACTCATTCAACAGATACTTTTGTCACCTTCATATGCCCAGTACTTTTTTGGGTATTATGCTTTCCTGAAAAATAAGACAGCCAAGATGCCTTCTCTTGTGGTACTTACATTATAACAGGAGAGACAAAAAATAACAAGTAAAAATAAATGAACAAGATAATTTTAGAGGCTAATAAATGAAGATAATGAAACTATACATCAGACAGTCACAGGGAAGGATAATTTAGATTGGATGGTCAAGGAAGGTATTAACAGTAAAGAAAAGGCATTATCTAATTGTGAAATAAAAGCTGTTAAAATAGTTTTTCTTTTCAATTTTTACCAAAATAAACTTCTACAAATGAAAATTCATGTTATTACTAAAAGGTCCAGACTAGAGGAGCTTTTAATATCCTCAGTTAACTGTTACAAAAGGGGCATATTACTAGTGCCCAAATAGTAGGCAAAAGGTAGATTTTATAGAGGAAACCTTACAATCTAGGAAGCAACAGAGGGTACAATATCTCTTAAGCTATCATTATTCCATAGAGAAATGGACTTAGATTGAGAAAAGCTGGATTCATCATAGAAAAGGCTCCTGAGAGGAACCCCCTTCTCACATATCACTTTATAAAATTATAGGGGAATTGGGAGGGCATAGAGAGCACCTAATCAACCATGTAACACAGAGCTTCCTGGTTGGGGCAATGGCCTTATAGGAAAAAGAGAAGGAAATAGGTACTCTGTATACTAATGTAGCTGGTATTGGCGAGTCAAACAGTCCTGGTGAGCCAGCTCTGTGAAACCACAAAAATAAGGAAGAAAGAAAATCACCAGGACCATTCATAAATAAAGATTTGTCTCTCTGCTGTCCACCCTTTGGTCTTGGAGACTCATTATTATTGGTCTTTCCGTTAGTTCTATCTGACACCTGACTCTGAACATACCAATTTCCTTAGTATTGTCTGAGAGAAGAATATTAGTAAGGTCACCAGCTGGGTTGGATGAGGATGTAGAACAAACATCCTCCTAAGTTAACTTTATGAACTCTTTTTCCTGGCCAAACAGAGATACCTTTTTTTTTGAATGTGTGTTCCATATTTGCCATAGGAAAGAGAAAGTTATTTATCACCTCCTTTGAACATTCACCTCCAACCATTTCTCAGGGTCAGATATGTTCACATCTGACAAACAGATCTGTTTTTCTCTGTGGAGATGAGTCAGGTTGTCTTTTTTCTGAAGTGATAGTTCCATGGGGACCCCAAAGTTACCATTTTGCCATCATAGGTCACCTGTGGGGTTAGAAGAGGGTATCTGCAGCACCATCTGTTGCTTTTAAATGAGCAATATGTTGTGTCTACCCATCCACTGAGGTCAAAGCAAAGGGGAAAAAAGGAGTATACTATTCCCCTTGAAATGATATCTTTCTCTATTCCCTAACTTCTAGGTATGTTGGAGTTTAACCATGAAAGAGGGGCCTTGCTTGGTATGGTATCCTGTAGCTTATAAACAAGTAGGGAAAAGTGGACTGACAAGCCCTACGGAGGTCGTTTTCAAAGAGGCTGCCTTAAATGGCAAGTAGAGTAAGCTAGATGGACAACAGTGGCTTCTATGTCTTTGTCTTTTTTTTTTTTTGAGATAGGGTCTCACTTTGACCCCTAGGCTAGAGTGCAGTGGCACAATCATGGTTTACTGCATCTTCAACCTCCCACGCTGAAGCCATCCTCCCATCCTAGCCTTCTGATTGGCAGGTACCCTAGGCATGTGCCACCATGGCCAGCCAATTGTTTTATTTTTATAGAGACACAGCCTCCCTATCATGCCCAGGCTGGTCTTGAACACCTAGACTCAGGGGCTTTTCACACCTCAGCTTCCTAAAGATTTCTATGTCTTTTGAATAAACTCCTTATTGGGCATTGTGTTCTTTCATGGTGGGATGGATTTGAACAGGGACCTAAAACTAAACTAGAGATGATGGTTACACATTCTTAATTGACTTTTTCATGTCAAATGTTTTCCTTTAGATTTGGTTCTTTCTCATGGACACATATGCATAGAATATAAGAACTGAGTTTGTGATTAAGTTGTAACTATTTCCTTGGACAAAGGTTACCTTAGAATAGCATGTGTAAAAAGTTCTGTCCTAGGAGATCCAATAGCCTGACTGAGTAACTAGGCTCATTAACAATGGCTCATTAGTCAGTTCAGTCAATCTGATGAGATTGTGCTCTATGGCCATGACGAATGCCTGAAGTTTACTCAATTCTGAAGAATGACCAATACTATAGGATCTCAGCAGCTTACCATCATTATGGTGAAGGAC